GGATTATCTGTGGTTCAGAACTCAGAAATTTTCAGATTTTAGGACATTATAGAGTACATATTCTGTTTATTTCACTCAGAATGGGGTCTGGGAAAACATCTCATATACAAATACCTTAGCATTTCTGCAATAACTATGTAAATATTTATATAAATTAGGAAAAAGACAAAGTATTTGGCATATTTTTGCCAGCTGAGTTAACTCCCCAGTTTTTGAAAATTACTTGAGTTTATATATTAGGATTCAGCATTGCTTATAAAAAGTTGTAAATCAATAATTAATATTCCTTATTGCAAGGGTATTAAACCTTCTGTGCAGGGCATTGCACTCACTTGTAAAGACAATTCTGATGGTAGAGACAGTATTGGTAGTGTTGCTGTTTATCTCTCTATACTTGGCACAATTCCTGACACATGGATAGTGCTTACCAAATATATTTGTTGAATAAATAAATGAAGGTAGTAGTGACTTTGTGTATATTTCTTCCTGGAATCCTCTATGATGTAACATTATTTTTCCTATTCATTATTGCTGACTCAACCCAAGTTTTGTCATTTATATAAGTAAAAATAATGATACCTTGCTGAATGACTTGGGCTCAGGGAAATTAAATCACAAACACTGTCATATATGTGGTAAAAGGCTGATTACAGAATAATATCCAGGTTCCTCTCACTTCTTTACTAACCTATCTATTCTACTACTGTCTATGAATGAAGCTACCTGGTTAATAAAAGGGATCCTTTACAAGCTAAAACTTTCCACACAGCCTGTGTAATTATGTCTTTAGGCATAGATACATCATTTGGGGGAGATGGTGTATGCCTATCATTCATTGCAAAATTCTTAATTATTTATTTTATAAAGTAAAAAGAGTAAGGAATGATCTCTTTTTTTTCTTTTTTTTTATGGGAAGGGGTACTGAATGCAGTGGGAATTTTTCCATCCCTTTCTTTCTTTTACAACTTTTTTATACTTGTAAAAATCCTGCAGCATCTTTGTATAGACCAAGTTCAGAGAACCCTAAATTCATTTAATTTATAGTTTTCAGACCAAAAAAAACAAAAACAAAAAAACGAATAGCATGTTGGTGTGGTGACAAGTTTCACTGCATCTGTAAAGAAAGACACATTTATATTGTGCCAACAGCAATCACATCTTAAGTTCCAATTAAAATACGACTTTTTAAACTCCAGAAGCTGCATGTAACAGTTTAGCCATCTGTTGGATGAGACAACCATCACTGATTTGAGCCTAGATAATTATTATGATAAGAACTGTGCTTCGGAAAGTTCAACTCAGATCCCAGTGGAGAATGACTGTTAATTATGAAGAGATAATTAGTGAGGGCAGAATCTTATATCCAGGGAAAGAAATAGGTAACAAACCTTAATCTGGGTCTAGATCATGAAAAGTTTATAATTATGCACATTTTAATTATTATTTTAAATCCTCTTTTATGATATATATCAAATATATCAAATATTTTATTTACCCTAATATCTTCCACCAGAGGAAGTATTGTTTTCCATAAACTATCTGTTCGATTTTTTTGCATTTGAGATTTCTGTCAAATGTTCTCATCTCCAGTTATTGCATGGATGCTTTTGTTTTATAGCCACTCTTTGTGACATAAAAGGGAATCTCTAGCCCTTGTCTCAGGTGGAATCTGGTCATAGCCCTTAGCACATGATTTTGTGCCAGGAAGGCCCTGAAGTAGTGATAGTAGAATGAGTTGAGAAACTATTCAATGTGGTGACAGAAAGAATCCAGATGATGATGGTTCTCAGACTCCATACTAAATAAAAATTTCAAACTTCTCTATGATAAAAAAATGGCTTGTGAAGAGCAAAAGTGATTAATTTCCTTTTCACTTTCTTGATATGAGCATTTTCAATTTAGGTAATGAATAAAAGCCAAATATGGATGAAACATAAGTCAATCACTTTCATCTTTAGTATCTTATGATTAGGTACAATGTCATTGAGCTTCATGTGTACTGGGGACCACTGACATTTATTATCAACTCATCAATCAGAAGAAAAGAGATTTTTAGTATGATTATCCCACACATTTTGGACATGAAACTAAGCTTCATTTTACTTCATAACTAGACATTTTCTTGCTACTTTCTTGCTACAATCTTGAGAATTTTTATTGCAGCATTTAGAACTTGTGGCATAACTTAGAAAAGTTACACTTTTATTTTTTTGTTATAAATGAAAAGTTTTAAAGAATTAATATGAATATAGAACAATGGGATTAAGCACCTAAAGAGTGCTAGGGAGATTCTAATGTATTCTTTGCTTAAATGCAAAATGGAGTTAGTTGTAAAGGAATCCTCTTTAGGAATGTGTAGTAAGCTCACTGAGCTTCAAGGAGGCTTTAGTTGTAAACTGAGAACAATTCCTTAATATGGACTATTATTTCCAACTTACCATCAGACTTATATATGAATCCAGGTATTTCTACATGTATGTTTAAAATATTCCTTAGCTTTATATATTCCTAATTTGGAAGAGAGACACCTAATAAATAGAGAAAAATGGAGATAACAAGGAACAGAAGTATATATATTTATGAGTGCTATATGGCTATTAAGAATTAGATTACAAAAAGGGAGTTTGCTGATATTATATTTAAATATCAATTCTATTCCTAGGACCAGATGAAGGATCTAATAATATAGTTTATAAAAGTATGAATTATCCTACCTGAAAAATGCTAACTACAATCAAATAATTTGTTTTCATTTTTTTTTTAAAAGAGAGAGTGAGAGAGAGAGGGGGACAGAGAGAGAGAGAGAGAGAGAGAGAGAATTTTTAATATTTATTTATTTTTTCTTAGTTCTCGGCGGACACAACATCTTTGTTGGTATGTGGTGCTGAGGATCGAACCCGGGCCGCACGCACGCCAGGCGAGCGCGCTACCGCTTGAGCCACATCCCCAGCCCTGTTTTCATTTTTTTATAACAGAATTTTTTATTCCCACTTTTCCTGTAACAGTTTTTTTCTCAAAAAATGGTTCCATCAAGAACATGTGGCTTAGGTTTAGATTACAATGTTGAACCCAGCAGTGGTCATCTTTTAATGAGACACTAATTTTATAGCTTAATATTTATATATTTAATATTTTCTAGCTTAATGTTTACCTAATTTTGGACTAGATTACTTTATATTAATGAAGTAGAGAAGGAAATGAAGAAGCAATATATGTTTTTAAATTATGCTTCTATCATTATGTGACCATATATACATATGATCATTATGTATATTATTATGTGACCATATATATATATATATATATATATCATATATATACACACACACTCATACACACACATATTTATACACACATATATATACATTTATATATATACACACACACATACAATATCTTTATTTATTATTTTTATATGGTGCTGAGGATTGAACCCAGTGCCTCACACATGCAAGGCAAGTGCTCGACTACTGAGTTACAACCCCAGCCCATGTGACAATATTTTTAGTTTTATTTAATTTGAACTTCTTAACTGTTCCCAAGATATAGTTGTGGCCTTTTGATTTCCTTCTTAAACTGCTTCTGCTGCATGCTTTCTGCCATTTCAGGGGCTTCTCTCTCCATTTGGCAAAAAATGCCTTTAGACCAACCTATTGCTCTGTTGTCACCGTGGCCCAGCCTTCCTTTTGGATATCTCACAAGGTTAGCAGACCGAGGATCCTGCACCTTTCTTGGCCTTTACCTGCACAGGCTACAGGATTTTGCAGAAACATTGTCTGAATGTAGCTGTTCTGGAATATTATTTGAGACCTAAGCTTCATGGTTAAATCAGCTAAAACATGTTTTAAATGCCAGAGTTAGTAAAAATAAAACACGTGCAAGAAAGACACGTATGTGTTCCTTCGGAAAAAAAAAAAAAGCATTTAAAGAGTCTTAATTAGTTCAGAGACTTCTAATGAATGGTTTCCCTACATATTTTGGACCAAGGCTTTGAAAACCCTATGATGCCACTGTCCATGCTAGATTCCTCAAAGATACTTTTATTTTGTAATTTTAAATTATTTTACTATCTCACGTCATTTAATTTTCATGTCATTTTTTATCAATAATTTGCTTATCTTAATTAAAAATGTTCCATATCATTAACTCTTTCATCTTTCAGTTAGATGATTTTGCATGTAATTATGGGGAAAAAGAATGAAGATTTTTCTGTGATTATCACAAATGATATGGAGAGTCGCAAACAATTTATAGTTAATTAGGAGCTTAGTTGGGGGATTAATTAAATTTCTCTGTTGGTCTGTGTGGAAGATGGATTTCCAACATATACGATTAAATTATTAATATAAACTCATATTTTATATATAAAATAAAACATGCTTTTACACGCACTGGCAAATAAACTCGCATCTAAATAAACATCAAACTTTTGGAATATGGAAATCGCTCTAGGACTGGCTTTTTAGCTTGTATTTAAACAAGATTATTTTTTAAAGTCTTTTAATCACATCAATTGTGTCACAGCTTAAACTGTTACTATTCACTATCTTCACATGAAAATTATTTGACATGGTGTGAGTTTCTGTTAGCTTTTTCAACTGTGTTTCAGCCCTGTCATTTGTTTTTTGTTTTGCTTGTTTTGCTGTGCATTGTCATATGTTATGAAAGAATTATAGGACTTGTTTTATTTGCAAAATCCAGTGGGCCATTTTGCCACTGTCTGATCAAACTCCAGCTTAATGGCCCTGACTAAATATGTGTGTCAATGGAGCCTCAGGAATGAATGATGGATCTGTGTAGTAACTCTAGCTTTAACCTCTAACTAGCTTTCATTTATCATCTTTACAATTTCCATTTCCTCTCTCTATTCAAATAAAGTCAGTTGAAATGAATGGATACTCCTGCACATGTTGATGGTTCTCTTCTGAAGATAGCACTGTTCCGTTTTCATGATACTGTTAATAATTTTTTCGTATTTCTTTTCTCTCTCTTTTTTTTAGTCTCGACCTATTCCTTCCCACCTTACTTCAGCAGTTGCAGAGAGTATCTTGGCTTCAGCCTGTGAGAGTGAGAGTAGAAATGCTGCTAAGAGGATGCGTCTGGATAAACAACAGGTACTGAGGAGTCTGGGGTGTCCGGTGTGCACCAGCTCCATGGCAAATGCTGTTCATTTATGTAGAAGTGCAAACACTCCTGAATAGGTCTGAAGTGCACAGAGTTAGCGGTTTTGTGTCTTTGTGAATCTGAACTTGAAAAATGCCAAGCTTATGGGATCGGTGGTGATCAACTAAACTTATTTTCTGAATGAAAAAAAAGACAACAGTGAAACTGAGTTAGAATTCTGTTTACTATTCAGTTTGAAGGCCAATTGCTTGGTAAGAAACTCTGATCATTTATAGGATTTCTTTTTACCTCATCATTTATCCTTATTTTTGAAAGAAAATGAGCCTTTAATTTCCTCTGGTCTTCTGCCAAATGCCAATATATTATGCTGAGGGTGGTAAATATGCAAAATAATATTGATAGACTGGAAAGCCATCAAATGGGAATGGAATGGAATGGAATGGAAATCCATGTCTTGGGTTTAGTCTCTGTTGGGTTTAGTCTCTAATTAATCATTTATTATATACCCTTTACATATCCTCTCTGCCTCTTTTCCAAGGATATATAGTTTATGAAGTGTGGATGCATATATTTTTGGCGGATTTTTTGGTGAATACTCAATTGTCCCTTTAGTTTGTGTGTGTCTGTCTAAATTTTTTGTCTCTGTAATGCGTTTCTTGTTCTAGCTGCCTTTGTTATCTATCCATAATAGAGAACTAAATTTAATATACTAAATGCTATGATCAAAGTTTTCTGTATTCTGGTTTCTGATTATTTTTACAACAAATGAACTGGGGTGCTTCATATTTCTGATTGAGGTTAAGATGAATAGAGACTAAATTAAGTTAGTTCAGTTTCATTTTTTCCTATAAACCTGTGGGTTTCAAATCAAAAAGGAAGTTTTTCCATTCCAAGCTTAGAATATTTTAAAATATTTCAGGATGGCATCATATTTGATGTGTTTATTATTATTAAAATATCATATGCTCACTCTGAATACTGCAAAAGATGAAGCCTTTGTGGAATTAAAAATACAAAATGAGCCTTGCCTAAAATGTAAGAATGCCAATATTGAATTTATTAATCATGCCACCAGTATTTATTCACAGGTACATATCCTCAGTTGAGAAGTTTATCATTATAATATCTATAAAATTTATCTTAAAGTGAGTTTCCAAAATATACACACTACCATTAACATAGTGATTTAAGATTGCATGTTTTATTATGCTCAGCAAAATAAACCAAACTCAGAAGTCAAGGGTTAAATGTTTTTCTCTCACATGTTGAAGCTGGAGAGGAAAAAAAAGGAAAGAAAAGTAGGGGGTGGTGTCTCATGAAAATCAAGGAGAACAGTAGAGTAGAGGGAAGGGACCAGGATCAGGGGGGATGGGAGCATAAGGGGAAATCCTGGGGAATTATATCGGTCAAATTATATTGCTATAATGTGTGCATATATGAATATTTAACAACAAATCCCACCATTCTGTACAACTATAAAGAATAAATAAAAAATATGGGGGGGGGGAGATTTCACACTCTGGGCTAAATGCCCCCCATTTTTATCTTCATGTCTACCATTACTAATTGTGTGGACTTCAGCAACATATGCTAGTTCTGTGTTCTTTGGTTTCTTTGTATAAAAGAAATCTATGGTAACTATACTGATCTTGGAGTTGTGATGAGAACCATAAATGACAGACTCATGTTACGTACTTGACATTGTGCCTGGCACATAGTAAGCAAGACACTAAGCTTAGAATACTATAATGTCTAGCTGCTTTGTCACTGTGTTAGTATCAATAAAACTGGAGAGACACATTAATGGTGCTAACTCTGATAGACGAGTTTTGAAGTCAGACTAAGTCCATTTAAGAAAACATCTTAGTTCTAGAAATTGAAATGTAATTCTGGAAATGAAAGGGTTCTCCTGATTATCATCTAGACAATATCCCATCTGGTTTACACTCTAGAATAGCCTTGATTAATATCAATCAGGTAGAGAACTTCACTGAGAGGTAAGTGACAGATCCGTGTTCCATGTTATCTAGAGCATCACTGAACAAGATCCCCCAAATCTGGTTATTTAAATATTAGTGAATACTAATATTTGGCCCATCAATAACTACTGTAGCCCTAATCTGTAAAATAGGCAAGACAAATACCTGATTTATGAAGTTATTGTGAAGATTTGGTAAGTCAATGCATGTGAAAGCATAGCATATTTAATACATTTACATATTGTTGAAGATCTATTTGCTATTTGCTTGAGTACCTGAAGTAGTAAGAAAAGCCCACCTCCAATGTAGACATTTACTGTTTACTAAGACACTTATCTTACAGTTTAAAAGTTATCCTTTTTTTGAGGATCCTTAAATTGAGTTCAGATTTGCTTCCTAGAGTTTCCACCCACTGAAGAGAATCAGCAGCAATAACAAGTAGGATTTCCTACTACCAGCCCTCAGACTGGAGTGGGTAAGGACCAATTGTCCTCAACCCTCCTGCTCATATTTGCGGTTTCCATTTTCTGTATGTCCTGATACATAGTCATTATTTACCGCAAGGCTCATTTCCTGGGAATGAGAGATGCTAAATATCATTTCCACGTAGGAATGTTCTTTCCAGACCCTAAAACATTTCAGGAGACTCGGGATTTATGGAGGATAAGGAAGAAGTGACTTTTTAAATTATATTCTATGGTTTATTGGTAATCCTTTGGACAATTTACAGAGTTTTTTTTTCATTTACTATTATCAAGAACTCCACAAGAGTAGGTGCACATCATTTTTACAAACATATAAGAAAACCGATGCTCAGAGAGGTGGACAATTCATTTGAGGTTGCCAGCTGCTACATGGACAAGTCAGGCACAAGTCTATGCTACCCAAGGCTCACACTTGGATATCTCTGTGATCCTGTATTGCCTTCTCATTGGTTATGTTCCTTGAAGATAAGCCCCCATCCTGGAATAAACTCTTAGGATTCATGTCGATCCATCCCTGCTCACAATGTTTCCACAGTGCAGTCTTCCGCTGGAAAATGATTCACATTATCCATAAACACTTAACACTGAACTATAACTAGCAAAACAAGTTTTGCCTGGATGACAGATTTTAAAAGGTTACAAACTTACCAGATTGCTTCACTTCATCTGGAGAATGGATTATGCACTGTGAACACTGGCTTAGTGCTTATAATTAGTTTTTCAAAAAATATCTGAGCTATTTATTCTTACTACCTCCCAGTTCTGTAGATTTCCTTTGGGATACCATCCAGAGCCTTCCACCATGTGATTCTGCTTCCCACTGGATCATGGAGTTGGTGGGAGCCCTCTCCAGCTTGGATCCAAACCTCTGCCGACACAGCAATGAGCAGACTTCTTAGGGGTCTTGGCAATGAGCTCATGCTTTCTGTATGCACTCTTAGCTCGACTCAGAATTCTTAGCATTTTCCAGTGATCCAGATATTCTTCATCGAACTCTGACTTTCTATAGTGCATAAAAGTTCAAAAACTGGACAGTTAAGATTTGTTCTTTGTTAAGTCACACATCTGACCCCTTACTGCCAGTGGTTAGCCACATGGAGAGCTATAATTATGTAAGTCCTTCAGATTTTATGAAGCTTGATGAATTAATTGGATTTTATAAAGCTCTTTGAGCTATGAACATGAAAGGTGTTATGGATGTGTTAAATACTTTATTTCTAATGTCCATTTTGCACTAAAATCCAGAGGAAGCTTTTATTATGCAGCCCCAGCCCTGAAGCAAGCCAGTGGCAAGGACAAGAGTCGACTGCTTCATCAGAAGTCAGATCTCACAGAACTGAGGTCACTCCCTCATGCATTTTAGAATATATTCTGCATTTCTTTTAACATGAAAATCTGGAATTTTTGTATCATCTAAAAAATTCTTCCTTCCTTTGACAATTCAAAGCCAGACTTCACTTTCTATGACTTTTCTCCAATTTGGGGACAGGGATCCCTTCTCTGTCAGTTCATTTATTTAGACATTATTTCTTTTTTTCTTGTATTCTTTAAAAACAAAGATGTCTCATTGTTCTTGGTTATAATTCATGTGGAGAGACAGAGGCAGAACATAAGAGAGATTAGAACCAGATACTTGATGGCAGTTTATTGCCTGTATGTATAATTTTTGCTGTTTTTGAGGGGTGACACATTTCATTTATAAGGTGGATGACTGATTAAGATAGAAAGTTGCTGAAGAACACAGGGCTTCCTTGGTTTCTGTCACCTGTTCTTTCAGTTAAATTAGTTTGCCGTTCTACATGAGAGATCGCGTAAACTAAGGGTCAAGGGCTTCCCCAACAGCAGCCCGGCAGACACTGCCCTTGAAGAACAAAGCAGTTTGTGCTTGGTGACAGTTTTTGCAGTGACTAGGACAGATGGGAAATCAATGGTTGACTGTGATGTGACATCTTTGACTCTATTGAAAAGATCACAGTGGGGGAAAGGGGAAGTCACATGTCGGTTACCTGTGATATAATAAAAGATGATGAAGTAGAAAAATAAAATACTCAAAACTGATGCATCCTTAAATTGAAGGAACGAAGGAAGGAAGGGAGGGAGGGAGGAAAGAAGGGGCCACTGGAAAATCTGCATGAACCTATTGGACTAGGATTTATAATATTTAGTAAGCCCATGATTCCCTGCTATTTTTTTCTTCAATAGTGGTAAATTCACAGCAATATGTATCTCTTTATGATTTTTCCTTTGTTATGTTAGGGCAATAATAAATGGGCATATTACTAAAAGAAAGTAATTGTGGTTACAGCGGTTGAAAAGGTAGCCTTAACATGGTGACAATTTAGATAAACTTTTTATTTTGTCATGGACATATTTGGAAACTATATAAAACACTGAGTTCAACACAGACTTTTTGAGTTAGGCAACTTTTCTTTCACATTTCTGTAGTTGTGTGTCCTTCTGGTGACATTTATAAACTTTAACAAATACCCCACTAAAAGTATAATTTTTCCATAGGATCTTATTCTT